ACAATTGGCACAGAGTTACGCGGGTCCCTATCGGTAAGCTCACTTTGGTCCACAGGTGGTGATTGGACGCCTATTACGACATTCACCGGACGGGAGATAGTGCAGGTGGCTGAATGCCGTTGATTGCCAGTCTGTACTGTGCCGGGTCCAGTGGTACGTATTATTGGATCTTGTTTTTCCGTCCGCAGAGATACCTTCTGAAGTGCCGCCTCGGGCAATTGTCTGTTCGAGAGCTCACGTCTGCAGCACCCAACAAGGAACCGCTTGCTGAGCGTGATGTTGAACATTTGGGCCTCACTATGTAGGTGGTGTTCTGACAACATCATAAGGCAAGTCGTGAATGCCTGTAGTGCTGTGTTATAGCATGTCGGTAGAATCGTCCACTGCGTCCTACTTGTCCACGGCAAACACACGGGCCTTGCATGTTCTTTTCTTTGTTTTTGCCCCAAGTGCTGACGGCGAAAGATTTTAGAACTTTGTTGCGGTTGTATATTTTGTTGGCAATTGTATGCGACAAGAAAGAGGGCAGGCTGTCGTAGGTTACGCCGAGGATATTTGGATTGTTCACTGTCAAATACGCGTATGTGGCATAACCTCTTTTGTCCAGGCGGTGAAAATGGTTTCTGTGGATTGCAGTGAAGAAGTGAGCAGATTCGGAGAGATAACCGTTTACCTTAGACCAGGGGTCATCAATTCCATTGTTGGACGGCATTTTCGAGTAACCGTCAGCTTATGAGATGATGGAGACTCCATCTGGCATTTAAGAGGTTTCGAAATGTAGAAATTTAACGTAAGCGGGGAGGGGACACCAACCTGTGGAACCACCTTTTTAATTTTCCTGGGTTTTCGCGGTTTATCTCTAAAAAAAAAAACAACTAACAAGTGTCGACCACTCCCTTGTTCAATAAAGGAAGCCTTAATGTCTTCTAGTAGCGTAGAATGACACACGATTTCGAACGCCATTGACAAATCCAACGCCCTCACAGGGGCCATGCTGATGCTTCGCGGGGGTCAAGTGGTACGCAAAGTATGGCGGTAGCAGGGCCTCTAGTGTCTTCGCGACAGGGAGGAGTGTTATCGGTCAATAGGACTTACCTTTATTGGCAATTTTCCCTGGTGTCAGGAGAGAGACACTATTCCCAATTTTTACACGTTAATTAGAGTGGTCATTGACAGATTTAGGACCTTCGTGAGGTAATCTACAGTCGATGGACCCATTCTTTTCACCATCAGCTTGCATATTCCGTCGGGAACAATGGCTTTTGAGGCTTATGCCTTACCTATGGCCACATGGAATTCACCGCTGATGAAGACAAGAGGCGCATTTGGTTTTGGCAGCTTTTTGGTCACTCGACGCATGACTATGTCGACCGAAGGAAGGGTGGATTTGGACCCTTTCATCTATATTTCTATTTCATATAAAAGGACGAAGACACTGATAGGCCATGAATTATTTTTCGCCGATCGCTAGACTCAAGGAGGTTAGTTCTAAAAAGCTCTAGACCCATAAACATAGCTAAGAATAGGCCGGTGGTGACACCATATGAAGTTATCAATCCTTTGCCGTTTTTATAGCTGAAGTGCTCAACCTCTAGGGGTCTCGTCAAATGGTGTCTTCTGAAGTTTCTGCATCGGCGAGCCTGAGGCCGAGGAAGCGGACGATGTCGATGGCGAAGTGCTTCCGATATCAGGGTCGTCATTTCTTTTAACGGCACATGCTTCTTCAAGTGGTGTAGGTATGCGCTATTGTTGCTGAATTCGCCATCGCTATCTGTTCTAGTTCTCGAGATTTTAGATTTTGTCACAAAACACAGTACAGCTGGTGACGGAGGGAGTTTGGTGATGCAGAGGTCCAGGAGAGTACGCCGTTTTGGGAGCGCCCTGTTGAAAATTTCGACTAGCTTTACGGAATTCCCATAACGATTGACGTCCACTCATATAAATAGCAGTTTATCCACCGTCCTATTATAAGGTCGACGTTAGCGGTTGTTGTTGTTATAGCGGCTACCTCGCCCTGCCTAAACCGAATTATTCTTCAATAAATGTCGTCAAGCCCAATTAACGGTAGGCCCAGGAAACGTAGTGTTTCAGCGGCGTCGGGACAGAGGGAGTAACTCTATACTATGCCGATGTGGGTGCAGATCCTCGCTCATCTGTGTGGTGTATGCGGCTAGCTTTTCTTGATGCTGACTCAGGTTGGGGAGAAATTCTAGCGTGGCTTTTGCCACTAGGGGTAGGAGGAATAGGCTATTTATGATTATCCTGCATCCGCCTTCTAGCATGGCTTTTGCCACTAGGGGTAGGAGAAATAAGCTATTTATGATTATCCTGCATCCGCCTTCTTTCCTAACTTAAGAAGAGTAATGATCCTACTTCCACATCTGTGATATGATCAGGGTGGACAGTGACGGCAGAAAGAAAAGGATATTCGGTGGAGCAGCTTCACTGAAGTCAACACGTCTGTCCACAAGTAGGTGCGGCTGCATACCGGCGTCTTTCTGTTGAGTAAGCCGTCCGTGATAAACATAGTTGAGATTCTACTAAACAACCTAATTTAATACATTGATGGCTTTCTACATGAGTTTTATGTAGTTTTTGAGACTTTCTTAATCGAATACATTTTCTAATACTACTTCTGTTCATTTAGCTCATAAAAAAAAAATAACGAAAATGTCGCATTTACTCACCGGTGGCGGACCTCTTAATCGTTTTAGCGGCACTTTAATTAGTTGTTCGGTTTTGTGTAATAGCTTTGGTGCTCTTGGTGCTTTCTTTGGCACTATATTTGTAGGCTTGAAAAGGGTCATTCTCTTTCCACAAATGTCTAATCCAACTTCAGGATCAAACTCCCTGTTGAATTTATAATTCACCTCGTAGACGCGCTCAAAATTACCAGTGGGCGCATGCGGATTGCATGGCAAATCGACAATTACTTTTATCAAATCCCTCAGAGCCATTGGACAAATACGCGCAGTCACATCAGTGGATGGCGTCAAATCCGGTGTTGAATTGATTTCAATTAAAATGGGATTGTAATCCTCATCTAACATCAAATCACAACCATACAATTCGAACGTATTTTCCACAAATTCTGTCTCTTCCATGCTAGCCATTACAACGGCTGTAAGATTCTCTTTGAAACCTGGATAAATACGTTCTTCCCATACGTTATTGGGAGCATTCGTGTGTTTTAGAAAAACTTTAAAGTGTTCCAACGACCACATATTATTCTTCGGCAGACGTACATCACGATTGGGTTTATTCTTATAACGCTTCTGTACGGAATTATTTGTGAGATGTATCGATTCGCGGAGATCATCTATGGTGAATTCTTGAGAGCTGAATCGTAGATAACAATCCTTATACAACCAAAGTGATAGAGTGGATTCACCAATCGAGAGCAACATGTACTGGCGTATGTCGAATTTTGTTTTGTGTATCAAAAGTGGACGTTCTGTGGAAAAAGAAAAAAGAAATTGTGCCGCATTTAGAATATTTTTTAATTACTTGTGCAAACTAATGTTTCATGGTTTCCATTTATAATAACCAGAAACACCGGGAAGTATCGCCATATGTAATGAGAAATCTAGTACCCAGAACCCTGCGTGATCGTTGCGATTTATAGTAAAATGTGCAGTCTTGATGAATTGCATTTAGGTCTCAGTCGAAGTAGTTAACCTGAAGAGATCATTGATATTGATGATTGATGCTATTATTAAGCTTCATTACATTATTACAAGCTTCCCTGCAGTGAAACCCCAAACTAGTCAGGAAAAATACTAGCTTACAACTAGAATTTCCTGACTGAAACCGAACTAGTTCGAAAATGACCAGACCTGTGCCAAGTACAAAATGATTTATTCATGCCCTGTTTTATTTGACTTCGACAGTTTAATACAATAGAGTACACAAAATATTATAACTTTTATTTGGGTATATTGTAAACCGTTAAAGCGAGTATATATACCATACTTGTTAAATAATAATTATACCATACTTGTTGAATAATAATTAATATTCATAATGATTATTAATTAAAGCATATTTTTTAGATAACCGTTTAATTATTAAATACCAATATTAGCACCTTTTTAATGATTAATTAACTACTTACACAAAATTTTTTAATTAATTCGTTAATTTTAATTACATCATTTTGTTATTTTTGATAATTTTCAATTATTTTTGACTTTTTTAAATAACACGATTAATATAATTATTTGATTAATTTCAATTATCAATCAACAAGCCAAAGTATAGACAAAAATTAAGAATATTTATTTATTTTATTCTTATCCAAATCTCAAATTTTAAACATCAATTACTACTTAAAAAAAAAATATTAAAAAGTGCTGAAGTGCGCAAAGTTAATGAATTTAATTTATTTTAATGAAAACTTTTATTTTAATTTTAGTTCACTCAAAAATGAACTAAAGTATTCATTTTAGTTTAAACTAAAATAAGATAATAATATAGTTATTTATTGTACCTGAAAGCCTTTACTTTTAATATAATTTAATGGAAAGTGCATTTAAATTTAATATCGAAAGTGTGAAATATTTATGTATTTATATTTCCTTTTAATTAATACTCAAAAAATGTAACACTAATTATTGGCAAATCTAAGGCTGCTAAATAAAAATGTATAATGTATTAAAGTGTACTTAATCAAAAGTTTTTATTTTTTGTATATTCATGAATTCATTTTATTTTTTGACTTCCAAAGTAGTGGTTTGGGCCCATAATTGTACTAGTATTTTTCTGTCTTGTTTGAACTCGTACGAGACTGGTATATATCTGAGCGAAATCTGACAATTACCATTTCGTAGGACATCCCCATGTTAAAAATACCAGTTTATTTGATGGAAAAAAGATAGTTGGCTAACTAGTTGAGCATGCGGTTCATACTAGTTGTGAGGTAGTTTACAACTAGTACATTTGACTACAGTGTTAATACACTAAGCTGACCAACCGTCCTCCTTTGAGGAGGATTGTCCTTCTCAAACGTGATTTGTCCTCCTCAATAATGTTGTCCTTCTCTGTCCTCCCTTTGAGCAAAAACGTCCTCCTTGTCCTCCTTGTCTTCAAGTTTTATAGCAGTAATGAAATTTAAAAAAAATTTCGTTCAGAATATTATTATTTTCTAATCGTACACATTCATTGTATTTAATAGGCGTTTACATTGTTCAAATTTCAGTTAAATGATGTAAGTATTTGATTCAACTAATCTCCTGTGAAAGTTGAACAGTGTGCCTTTTAGCCCTAATCAATAATATTTTGCCCATTACAACATTGAAAGATTAGCTAACGACGCGTCTCCACAGACCGAAATTATTGCCTGCCATATGTCATTTTGTTTGCCAGATACATATGTATGTATAAGTTTTATCAGTGGCAGTGTGTATGGGGATTTTTTATCTTGATAAACAATTTTGTAAGACGGCTTAAAATAAGTATGTTCGTTGCATTGGAGCGCAAATCTGCTTAAACATTTTTAGAAAATGTGTTATTTCACATCCAAGTACATAATCAAAAATAGCACAGGCCTGTGTGGTTTTCCCCTTAAAAAATTAATTAGCGATTTGGGTATGTATAGGTACCAGCTACCAAAACGATGTTAAAAAATTTCGTCACGAATATTTTTTGAGAAAATGTTTCTTAGCGGTGCCGTGCATTACTAGGGTTAACTTCGAAATAACATAAGTCGCTCTGATTTACTTAGGCTCTTTATGTGTTTTATTACTAATACTATTGGATTTTAAGTAATAAATCTCACCGTGCTAGAAAATAACCAGGGATGTATTTTAATTTAACATACCGTAATTACGGCTGCCATAATCCTGAACCCTGACTAAGACACTTATCATCCAAATTAAAAAAGAAGATACAAGTGAATATGGTGCCAATATATTCCCTATAAATAAGTTAAGTTGCTTTGGTTCTGATATTATAAGCAATGTAAACTACATTGCTTGTGGCACAATCCGTAGAGCTGAATGAAGTTCTGAATTTTTAATTATAAACGAACAAATTTATCTTGACGGTGACGTAATGTGGTCTAGAATGTTCTCCTAACCACTATTAGCGAATTTCCGCATATCCTATAATGCACTTCATGATAATTTTTGCCAATTTGTATATGCATAGCCTGAAGATAATTTAGGTACTGAAAAAAGTGCTTCCCTGCATGCTTCCTAGAAAGGCGTTATGTACCTATTTACAATTTACGCGAATATACTTAACCCGGCGGGAGTGAGGTAACAAAATGTTACAAAGAGTATGTGGCAGGGTAAGACATACCCGCAAAAATGTATTTGACATAGAATTTGCGGTAAATTAAAGGTGCTTTACTGTAACAGGCAATGTTGTAAGAAAAACGAAGTTATAAACTTTTCAAACAAAAATGTTGGTACTTTTAAAAAATCCACAAAAGATTAAAAGGAAACAGTATTAACAAAAAAATACCGCATACTCCTACATATGGCTTTTTCACATATTGGGATGATGGAATGTGGAGGTTCATTTATTTTGAATGAGATTCTCTGAAGAATAAATGCTGGAATATTACATAGCCAAGCGATGTTAGCAAGCTTGTAACTCGAGCATAAGCCCCACTGCAATCACGCCACAATTCTCTACCGCAGTATTTTGATTCTAGCTACACTAAACAACTAAACGTTTGAATGACTAGAGAGAAAAATACACTCCGGGTTAAGTATATGTTTATATTACTTAACATTACAAATAAGATTCAATAGGCATTGCAAGTCTAAATCAAACTATTTGATATTAACCTTAAATAAATTCCTTAAAGAAGTATGATTTTTATAAATTAAGAAAAACTTTAAAAGAACTTCTTCAAACGGCGTCCTACAAAAACCCTTCTGAAAACTCTTTTTTGAGTAGCGAAGGCAGAAGACTTTCAATTTTGTGCCGCTCCATACAAAAAATTAAGGAGAAAGGATAACTTTCAGAATGGCCTTTTGGATAAGATTTTAGTTCCTGATATTATCTACGGGGCAGTATTTATGTATGACCCCTCAGTCGTGTACCTGATCAGGAACTTGCACTTTTTGGCATTCACCTCAAAAAAAGATTTTAACCAAATAAACAAAACAGAAAGAAAATATTCAACATTTTAGAAAAAACGTTTTGTTATCAGTTTTCGACTACTAATGACAGAAGGCTTAACCTTTTTTCATAGCAAAAATCTGCTAAAAATTAGAGGAGTGTCTGCATTGACCTTCATTAAAAAATCAATACAATTTAAGGGTGGGCCAGGACTCCAGGACAATTTGTCTAAATCAGGACAAATCCTGTAAAACCAAAACGTCTGGCAGCCCTAACCTAGACATTAAAAAAATAACATAATTATTGGAACGGGGAAAAATTTGATTTCGCAAGCCAACAGCTATTTATTTTTAAATATTTTCTTATAAAAATTTAGTTCATTCTTTAACAAATACCATACAAATTCGCATTTAAAACTTTGTGAAAATATAAAAATTCAGCGAATTTTCGCCAAAATTTGACACTTTTTTAAGAATTTTGGGGAAAGTTTTGCGTATGCATTTTTATAGCCCATGCAAATTTTAGTATAATAAAGTGCGAGTTTCATATGTCTACAAAATATCGTCGAGTTTTTGCAGTTTTTTACGGTGTCACTCATTTTCTTCCATACGAAGTATGTTCGACATTTTTTTTATATGGAAGAAAATTACCAACACTGTCAACCATGGTACAATAAAAACAGGTAGAAGCCAATTTGACGTCAAACCTACAAAAGTCAAAGTTTTCGGGAGAGTAAAAATAAAAATGAGCGTGTGTAAGGAAAAATAAAAAATTACATTTCACTGGTTGACGTTTTTAAGTAAATTTGAAGTTTAATTTTATTTATTTATTTTCTCTAGTTAAAATTTGTTAATTCGTTTGTTGTTTTGCCTTTTTTATGAGTTGCAGTGTTGTTGGAGGGACTATTCGGCATAAGAGTCATAGTAACAGCATTTGGCATCAAACGTGCCTTTCCTGTACCACCCGGTGCATTTATAAAATCTGCTGCTTTAATATGTTTAACGCACAGCAAGGCATTTCGCTGCGTCTCTGCCCCACAGCTGCTTTCTCAACACTCCTCACGAGAAGGACATTGAGGCACGTTAAAAAAATTAGTGGTATTTGATTTATAAACCGCACAACACTACACAAATTCAAATGTTAATTAAAATTTGTTTTTAACGAACATTAAAAAAAACAAACGACATGACATTTAAAGCGTAACGAAATATAGGAAATAAAAGAAAGCCAAGTTGAAGTTTAAAGGTTTGGTTCTCATGAGAGCAACGTCATTTTGGCTTCTACCTGTATTTATGTGCCTTGACTGTCAACAAACGAAAAAAAAAAATTGCCAAAAATCAACGGCAACTTTGAATTGTTTTTTCTTCTTTTAACAATGTTAACTTATTCGTTATTTATGTGCTAAAATAAATGTAAAACATATATTTTGTGTTTTCAATATAGAAAATTTGTCCTCCTGGAATGCTAAAAAATTCTGGTCACCTTATAATACACAGACATTTTTCTGCCTTATCCTTTTCCCTCACTCGGCTAACTATAGAATGTCAGCTTTAACTTGAGCGCGCTGTGGTAAGAAATAATATTTGGCAACCCTAAATCTAGGTTCAAAACAACACAAGACGCGTGCTCAGAAAATTAAGGTGGCCTTCTTGAACATAAAATCCACGGAATGTTGTTTCCCTGCTTTAAAGAATAGGCGTAGATCATTTCATCTTTCATCATCAGCACCCTAGTAGTCCCTTCGTCCATGCAAGTCACGTTTTAAAGCCTCATGCATAATGCCGTCTTGAAGGTCCGTGAAATCGTTTGTATTCAATGATTCTGCAGGGTGGTTTTCGAGCTCGCTGAAGACTTCCGAATTCTAAACATGCTTCTTAGTCTTAGTCGCTTAGGACTAGTCAGAAATAGTCAGAAATAGTCAGAATCAGTCAGATTTTACTGGAAATCGATCCCGTACTCGGTTCTCTGACTATTGAGAGGACAAAAAAGAGAGCAAAAAAGGTCCTCTCTCTGTCAGAAGTTACCAGTTTTAGTCATGCCTGGAAGGCATATTTCCACGCCGCCCAACCAGTCAGCGGATGCCAGATACGCCCGAAGGCCGTCTCCACTTCGCTCTCCTGGTCAAAACGTGTGTCAGCCTAATTAGAAGGGGGCGTACGACGTACCTGAAAGGCATATTTCCAGGCAGCCCGGCGGTCGGGTGCCAGTTCGGCGAACGAAATTCGATATTCTTCCTCTGGCATATGTCCCGCGTTGGACATTCTGTGCTCATCAATCATACCTCTTCTACAACCACCTACTCAAAGCCACCAACAAACCTGCTAGTACAAGCATTCAAATCTTCTTTCACACATTACCCGAAACCGACTAGAGTTTACGGTCCCCATGATGATCTGCTCGCAAAGCATCAACTATCGTGCGATATTTTAGGACGCAGCATTTTCCGTAGGAAAGCTTACCTATATATTTTTGTGCGATATATCGTCTTTGTGGATTGTTGGTTGCCCATTGCAAAATCTCATCGATAGAACCTTGTATGATGATGCCAAGCCCGCGGCATTGATAGCCCGGCTTGAGTATCCACAGATTACGGTAACCATCCCATTTGTAGTCTCTCCGTCGCTCTTCCAGCTTAGCCAAATACAACCGACTGAGTTTTGACACCTCCTCCAATAAAGCCACATTGGCTTGAATTTTCGCATGGTTACGTATGACTTCGTTAGAATTCGCAATGAACTGCTGCCACTCAACCTTTTCGCGATCTGCATTCGTTACAGTCTCATCGTCCAATGTACGATGATCCAATTCATCGAAATGTTTTTTTAAATTTGTCACAGCAAAATGCACCACAGAAATGGGCACTGTACCTGCATCTGGATCAACAAGCTCCGACAAGCGATGCATATTCTCCGATAGAAATTTGAGCAAACAACGACATTGAGTTTGTCGGAAATCCTCTATGAATGCCATGCGTTCTTCTGTGCTACCACCGAGACGATAAAAACGCGGATGACTCATGCCACACACGCCCTTCTCATGGAACCACTGTTGCTGCTCGGCGCAACCAATCAAACCGACCTTGGTGGAAAAGTCCAAATTACGACCGCGTCGTACACGATTTCGTAGTGGCAAAATATCAGTGTGAAAATCACGATGGGATTTCGGTTGCCAAATGAAGAAGGCAGGAAAGTGACTAATAATTTTCGAAATGGCTACTGCTTCATAGTCGTTGCCACGCTTTGCATGTTGCAGCAGTACCTCTTCGGGCAAGCTCTGCAATTTCGGATAACGATTTGGCGTCAGCTTCTCCAACCAACCGCGATTCAGCAAGGCACGCCTTATTGTATGGTAATTACCGTAAACGGTAAAGATGCGTCTATTGCGAAAGGCCTCAATTACACGCGACCGATAGATGCTCGAAAGCGTGCGTGTCGGCGTGGCACTAGCCGTCTTACCATCATTTAACACTGACATACTTTTTTGAGCATCTGACTCTACCCGGTAAGGGACGCCAGCGCTGCTGCGACCGAGTACGTAATCCACTTTGGGAAAAGATGGCTTTGAGATGTTAAGTTTTGTTACTGCACACCGTTGAGAGAGTGTCGCTAGTTCAGCATCCAGAGTTTGAATTAAAGCACGGATTTTGTAGACTGGATTGTAGTATTGGTTTCTATAATTTGGCCAAGACGTTGTGGAATGTTGCATTCTGTTTACAACAAATTTTGAAGCAGAAGCCGAAATTTTTTTGTTTGCTTGAAAATTTTTTTATACAAATTTTGAATAACTTTCAAAAAAAATTTACATTTCATATATTTGAAGACGTCCAGTTTTTGTTTTGTTACGAACGCGGGTTTGGGTGAATAAAAAAGTTAATTTTTTTCTTTTGAATATTTCAAAACCGAATTTTGAATAACGCGAAAAAATTGTGCCATAAATACATATAGTGCAGCTCGGATAAAAGTTACCACCGAGTGAATAATTCGAATAAGGAATGAATAACCTTTCAATTTAGAGAAATCAAAGGGATTTTTTGTAAAAAAGGCTCACTCATAAATCTTGCAAAAGTTTCGTAAAAGACGTTTTGTAACAATTCGACCAAAGTTGGGAAGGCTCAGGGTCAATCTGGTAAGCGCGTCCCGATTGTATCGGAGGTTGTTGCTGTTGTGGTAGCAGCATACAAATTCCCCAGAGTTTTTGGGGAGTGTTGCTGGAGTGTCAGTCCTTGGCCAGATATAAGTCTGGGTCGTTCCGGTTACATAGACCCGACTGTCGTGGGAACGATTGTATCGTAGGTCCTCCAAAATAGCCGTCCGCTGAAATTTTAGCCCAACTCCGTTGCGTATGGTGAGCAAACATACAGTTAGCTGCCTCGTATGAGCTCAGACTTGGCACACATTTCCCAAGAACGTGGATAGATCCTTCACGGCATCCTAGAAATGAAGCGATCTGGCCAATTCTATACTTCCTTGGTCGCAGTCTCACAGAGTCAGAAGACGATACTATACCACCTGACTAAACTCTTTAGAGGTAGCTGAAGCTCTTCATTTGCTGC